AAAATAGAAGCCATGACAAGAATGTTATAACAGGCGATTAGTCTACACCCAATTCCATTTAGCAGATACACTAAAGATCTCTTCCAGCAAGTACGGAATCTTATGAAAATGTTTGTAAATAGCATTTGAGCAACAAAAACCGAACGGATGCCTTTCTACTAGGGGCGACTTGAAAGATGCTACCGAGGATCCTGCTAGTCAGACCTGGATCTAAACTTGAAATGGCCGGCTCTTAGTCGCAATTCTAATCGCAAGTCAGCCATTCAGCGTTTAATCTAAGACATGCTTGTAGGCAACATGTGTCTTATTCGTCTGAACTGCAGCGTCTGTGGATACCCTAAGGAAAACATTTTACTGAGGATCTTTTCAAAAAATCCGCCATAAATGAACTCAAGACGTGGGGTCTAAGAAGAGGATGTGGAACCTCTGTAATGCGCAAGCAGAGTAATACTGTCAGCCTTGAATAGCAGAAAATCCCTGCTATTGCATGAAAGCAATATTCATTTAAATATTGGACATATGTCACTCCATGCATATATCTTCATCAAAGGTTTAGGCTGAGAGAACACGATCAAGTCTTGAAAATCATACATAACATGTAATTTAATATGACTAAGGTCTTGCAATCAAGAGGATCATATATTTCTCTTTGAAACCACACATTGTGAGATAGAATTCTACTAGAAAATGTTATGATGAAATGGCGAAGTCAAAACTGCCATCCATCCTGGCGTAAAGCAAAGTCTAAGATTATAAATTAAAGTAAATGAAGCCTTAGAGATCGAAGGTCTATAATGTAAAAGAGATTTAATCTCATTTGAGCAATCTTGCCGAATTATTAAAGAAACCTCGATAAACACAGCTTGCTCAATCGTTTACCATATTATAAATATCCTTTGGTAAACAAATGCTTACCAAAGCAATAAAAAAAGCATCAATTAGGCAAATAATAGGATAATAAACTAGTTAGTTCTACACTAAAACAAATTATACGAGCATCATTGAATAATTAACTTAACACATCCAATTAGCAAGAACATTCGTATTTATTAAAATATTTGCTTAAGCAAACGATTATGCTATCATCTAGGGGATTAATTTTGATACAAAGCGAAATGCCTTTTACAACAATAAATTAATAAACATACTATTTAGATGACCAGCTTAAAACCTGCTCAAATTAATTAGTCAGGCAATAGCTAAAGACAAAACCGAATGATAAATGACAAGCAGATAAATGCACATGTAGCGTAATGATGAGATAAAACCTGCTGAATCTGAGATCGAATACTAAAGTAAATAAATAAGCCCAAATAAATCAATTAAATTAACAATAAACCTGCTAAATAGATAACTAATGCATGAACCGTTCATCTGAACAACTATATTAATTAACTAGCAATCGCAGTGAAAATCAGATTCATCTATCAGAAAACCAACAATTTATCAAGCCTTTTTTGGATTATAGCATTAAAAAATGTGTTACGTAGGAACAAATAAAGACGGGAGATGAAAAGGGGTCCATGATTACTACCTCCATATGAAGAACTTGGCCTTTGTTTTCAACACCTCTTTTGACACAGTATGAGTGGCGCAGCATCTGCCGACTCGGAATTGGTTTTAAATCGATATCATTCCCTGACTGAAGATACAGGAAAAATAAGAAATATGAGAATAGGCAGCATAAAATACAGAAATTATACGCAAGTTAGTAAGTGTGAATGGAAAGGGAGTCGTACTTTTAAGGCTGTGTAGTAAGTAAGCTCATACATCGGCCTCAATGCTACAGTCTTAAAATTTAAATTAACTTGCATAAGGATAATAAGCTTTAATTATCGTTGCAGTTATAACAGCTATTTCCAATCAAAAGCATGACAAGCGTTGTGGAATATTCTATTAAAAATATCTAGTATGTAAGGGGGCATAAAATGAAAATTAGGAAGATAATATTTTTTATTGTAATGCGCAGTTTTGTAATAGGAAAAAAAATTCCACGGCTTTATTTAACTTTTAGATATAGTTAAATTCAGGGATACCTCTATATATAAGCCAAAGTTAAAAAAATATATTAACGACTCCAAAAAACCAATTATAAAGCGAAAATAAGGCAAAAGGTAAACTAAAAGATAATAGGGCTATTCAAAATAAAATTATATGAGTGAAAGGATAGACATATATCAAACGGATGTTAAAATAGACGAATTGGCGAAGTTAGAAGGTCCATTAAATAAGATTATGGTTAAATGACAACAGAAAAATAAACGTGACATGTATAGTAACTAAGTTGATCACCGTCAGTAATAAAAAATAAATACAATCTTCACCATGCCGTCTCAACGAAATACTGCTGCGTAACAATTTGCAAATTAGATCGCATGTATTAGAAACTGGTATACTCAAAAAATGGATTAAAGGGGTATATAGATGAATGTATGAATTAAGGGTTAAAACTACACACCAGATAGTCTAAGGCATCAAGAAGGTTGTTAATCTCCTGTGAATAATGCAAGCCAGTGTGACTTTTGGCTAGTACACGGCGCACCTTCCTGCGGATTTGGTCGCGGTCGACACCACACATCATCATGAAAGCGATCATGTTGTGCATCAAGCAGGTCAGTAGGCGATCTTCATTGAGCTCAAGGCGCTTACGCTCCAGCTGGCTAAGCATGTTGTAACGCATCAACAGTTCCGAAGGTCGATTATCCATACCTGCATGCATTTATGTGCGGATACGCGTAAATTTGTAAATGCAGAAGAATGTTTAAAATTACAAGGTTGTGAAGACAAATATATTTTTACGTATTGCGAAATCGTTAACGGTTCCTGAAGCAGTGTAATTACGTGTGAGAATGCGAAAAGGTATGCAAATAAATCAGTGCATATTTATAAAAAGTTGTATGAGGTCAATTTGGTATCGGAGTATACTTTGGACTCGATGGTGTTTGATAAATAAGTGAGGCCATGTATGCCTGTTCCTATACTCATATGTATGCCAATGCGGATACAGACTTTTATGATCATTATGTTAAGTCGATGTCAAATTTTAACTTAACCTAGATAGAAAATCCGAAA